TACACCACCTTGCACATAGACCTTGTCATGTAAACTACCCTTTTTTCCCATTCAGCTACGAGAGTGTCAATTTATACACCACCTTGCACTACACCATTCTCCTGTTAAGGCTCATGGTGGCTCAGCGCTAAGTCTGGGGGCTTAAATTGCTAAAATGCGGGTTTCGATATCCGCGGTGGACAGAGCACAGATAGCATATTGTGTAACTATGGGCTTCACAACAAAGAAATAAAATCACTTGTTAAGAGCAAATTTAGAGATGTTAGTACAATCTCAACCAAAGTTATGTTGCATGAAATTCGAGAAATGGCTACATATCCGTAGGCTATACCTTTCTAGTAGAAGATGCTCATTGTGTATCTAGATAAATCAGACATAAGTCTAAATAAGCAAGATATAGACTAAAACATTTATATCAGTAATTTCTGATCAAAGTAAGCTACTTACATAGATCAAAACTGAAAATGAAAAGTGTGTATAACCTAGCTAATTGAATATTAATCTGCAAGATTATCGTTTAAATCAACTAGAAAATATGTTTTTGTAACTACATTATTGTGCCTTTAACCTCGCCAACTTTCGTCAAGATTCTTCGTCATTTTCTGAAAGTAATCTAGGTCCCCTGGTGGGACAGCGGTAAATCTTCAGATTTACAACGCTAATATCATGGGGTTCGATTCCCATCGGAGGATACAGAAGATAGCTCGATGTGGCTTTGCTATAAAAAACACACAAATGTAATCTAGGTCGCCCGGTGGGACAGCGGAATCGGATTTACAACGCTAATATCATGGGGTTCGATTCCCATCGGTGGATACAGCAGATAGCTCGATGTGGCTTTGCTATAAAAAAAACACACATACAGATAGCTCGATGTGGCTTTGCTATAAAAAAAACACACATACAGATAGCTCGATGTGGCTTTGCTATAAAAAACACACATACACACACACACACATGTAATTTAGTCTCGAATGAAATAAGTTTCGTGATGGAATTTTTAATCTTTAATGGGAATAAAGCAGTCATGATACTTCAAGTTTGTTTTTTTGTTTTTGGAACATGCACATTTCTACGGTCTGGATATTCAGATATTATTATGACCGATTCCACCATAGTATTTTGTTATTCATGTAGTGTACAGTGTAAAATGTTCCTTTAAACTTTTATATATTGTAAAATGTTCATTAATACTTCAGGAATGATCATTATTTCTTCTCTAGCCACTCGCAAAAAAAAAATGCTGAAGAAATGTAATTTAATTTTAAAATTTAAGACTGTCTAATCACTGAGAGAATACTTAAACTGTCACCAAAGTATCCCTCCGTAATATAAATTATTTGTGTCTTTAGAAGAATGTCTAAATGAACTATAATTATAATCATATAAATCACGCAATTTATTCAAATTTAATCCCAATAAAGTTATACCATATCCATAAAACAATATATATATATATATATATATATATAGAATAATTATACTGAATAAAAAACAAAAACTAGGAAAACCGTATGTTCATACTCATTCTTGTGTTTGGACACGATCAGTATACACTTTACGAAAGAATCATTAGAATAAAACCTGTGAAGTATCATAGCAACACGCCATGCTGTACTATATTCATTAAGTGCTCTGTGAATAAACAAAACTGTGAAGTATCATAGCAACACACGAATATGTACTATATTCAGTAATCGTCCTATGAATAGACAAGACTGTGAAGCATCATAGCAACACGCGAATATGTACTGTATTCATTAAGTGGCCTGTGAATAAACAAGACTGTCAAGCACCATAGCAACACGCGAATATGTACTGTATTCATTAAGTGCCCTGTGAAAAAAACAAGATTGTCAAGCACCATAGCAACACGTGAATATGTACTGTATTCATTAAGTGCTCTGTGAATAAACAAGACTGTGAAGCATCATAGTAACACATGAATATGCACTGTATTCGTTAAGTGCCCTGTGAATAAACAAGATTGTCAAGCACCATAGCAACACGCGAATATGTACTGTATTCATTAAGTGCTCTGTGAATAAACAAGACTGTGAAATATCATAGCAACACACGAATATGTACTATATTCAGTAATCGTCCTATGAATAGACAAGACTGTGAAGCATCATAGCAACACGCGAATATGTACTGTATTCATTAAGTGTCCTGTGAATAAACAAGACTGTCAAGCACCATAGCAACACGCGAATATGTACTGTATTCATTAAGTGCCCTGTGAAAAAACAAGACTGTGAAGCATCATAGTAACACGTGAATATGCACTGTATTCGTTAAGTGCCCTGTGAATAAACAAGATTGTCAAGCACCATAGCAACACGCAAATATGTACTGTATTCATAAAGTGCCCTGTGAATAAACAAGACTGTGAAGCATCATAGTAACACGTGAATATGCACTGTATTCGTTAAGTGCCCTGTGAATAAACAAGACTGTGAAGCATCATAGCAACACGCGAAGATGTACTATATTCAGTAATCGACCCGTGAATAAACAAGACTGTGAAGCATCATAGTAACACGCGAATATGTACTGTATTCGTTAAGTGCCCTGTGAATAAACGAGACTGTGACGCATCATAGCAACACGCGAAGATGTACTATGTTCAGTAATCGACCCGTGAATAAACAAGATTGTGAAGTATCATGGTAACACGCAAAACTGTATTATATTCGTTAATCACTCTGGGAATGAATTTGTTTGTTTGTTTGTTTTGTAGTTATGCACAAAGCTACACAATGGGCTATCTGTGCTCTGCCCACAACGGATATCGAAACCCGGTTTCTAGCGTTGTAAGTCCGCAGACATACCGCTGTGACACTGGCTGAGAATGAACGTGACAGGAATAATTTAGAAAGAGTAGCCGGCTATTGTTAGAATTGGTTTGCTTAAAAGGCCGTAAAAGAAACAACATAAGTGGATGTAAGTACTTGTGTATGGCGCAAAGCTGTATTAGCAATCTGAGCCTATCAGTTGATTATTTTATGATTTTCATCTTTGTTTAAAAAATAATCAGTATAAAAGTAAAAGATGAAATAAAAATGTTTAAAACAAAAATAAAACATATGTCTGTGGTGAATATTGTTCATATATCAAATACGTTTTAAAAAAGGCTTACGGCTCTTAAAAACTAAGTTGATCCGGAAAATGTAATCATTGCCAACGGCAAGTTAAAAAATTAAAGTGTTTGTTGTTAAGTAAGCGCAAACCTACACAAGCCCTCAAAATTACCGCTAAGCCTCCAGAGGAGGAGGATGGGGCAAATAATGAGGACACCACTGTGAGAATATATCTAAATTTATGCCACCACTAAATAATGTAGCGATGGCATAAAAGCACATTATAGAACAATTATTTAAATCTCTAGATCGTATTTTTAAAAAGCAGTTCAATCCTGGTTATCATAATTTATCCTCACTCGTCACTTAAAAATGGTTTGTTTGTAATTAAGCACAAAACTACACAATGGGCTATCTGTGCTCTGCCCATCACGGTTATCGAAACCCGGATTCTAGCGTTGTAAGTCCGCAGACATACCGCTGTGCCACTGGGGGACCTTATAAATGGACACAAAAAAATTATACATATAAGCTAAGGATCTGCGTATATTCCTTATTGTGGTCACGGTTTTTAGATGGTTAACCTCAACTTGTCGTCAAAATTGTTTTTTACCGGATTGGTTGTAGCATGAACTCATTCAAACTCATGCTAAACAACTTTGGCCTGGTGCTTAGTATATTCGATTCGCATTTTACGAATTCTGTCGTCGAAAATACTCGCCCTTTTAGCCGCTGGGAATTTTATGTAACGATCCATCCCACTATTCGTTGGTAAAAGAGTAATTCAAGAGTTGGCGATAGGTGATGTTGACTAGCTGCCTTTCCTGTAGTCCATCACTTCTAAATTAGGGACGGCTAGTACAGATAGCCTTCTAGTAGCTTTACGTGAAATTCCAAAAACAAACAACCATCTGGCACAAAGCTTTGTATTCATGAAAGACTGATAATCTATATAAGGAATACGCAGAACACTAGTATCACAAATAGAAGCTAATTTGACCATGGTATCAGTAAGATCATTCTCTAGGATTCTGACATGGTTTGGAATCCAGAAAAGATAGATAATCCTGAGAAATGGGCCAGTATTTCCTAAATATCCAAAAGAATTGATGAAAACTAATTTTAAACAGTTCCAAGACTGTCTAAAAGCTAAGTGAGTCAGTATAGATTGTACAATTAGTGTACCATTTAGTTTCTGTGGAATCCAGGGCAAGTGAAACTGTATATTTCAAAACAGAACATAGAATCTGCAAGCAACCACAGATATGCAGAAATTAATATGAATATTTTTATTTTGGGGCTCAAGAATGATCGTTTTACTTCCCGAATTATAAGATTTTTAAACAATGAATACGAGCCCCCTCATTTTTTTGAGGGGGAAGATTCTAGAATGATTGTTTTATTTCTAATTGGCAAATTTTTTAACAATTAATATGGGTCTCTTCTTTCGGCTCAGAATTACTGGGACTTCAAATACTAATTATGTTGCTTTTTATTTCTTGAATATCATGCTTCTTTAACCATTAATGTGAGTTTGGACTTTTGGTTTTAAATCAACAGGGTTTTTAACTCGTAATATAGTCACTTCTTGTCTCCTGAATAACTAGATTATTTGATTCTAAAAATAAATGCAGTGACTCTTCAGTTGACTAAGGCTCTTTAATTCATCCAAATCTTTTCTATTTTAAGGCCAATGACGCAATTCTCCTTCAAAAGTAGATTAAGTAACTCCATTCAGCTATGCTTGTCCTGTTTTAGTCTGTACTGAATTATTTACAGTCCCCAATGTGGGATTAAAACAGAATTTATCATACCATCGATATGCAGATTTGCCTTGGCTTTATCTTGCTTAAAAATATTTAATTTATTAGATTTTAGCATTATATATTATATATATTCAGCTGGAAATCAATAAATATGGAAACATATTTTATCGCAGGTGAAAATATGACAGAAGGTGAGAATAGAAACCTAATTAGGAATATAGGCTTAGAACAGGATTGATAACAACGAAAACATACAGGTATGTAGCTGCATATGTTAATTACTATTTGGTGTGTAAGCCCTTTGCTCTCCTTAGAACAAAACACTTGTTCACCATCTGTCATACAGTGTATTGTTGAATGTGCGGAATATTCCTCCAGATATTCTGCAGATTGTCTCACAATTCCACCAGGTTGCTTGGCTACCCCTGGACATTCTATTTATTCAGCTATACTCACATTTCTTCAAAGGTGGTCATGTCTGAACTACGGTCGGGCTAAAGTAGGATTGCCACTATTGTAATTCTTATTTCCTCCTCATGTAGATTTTCATTATGTTTGCTATATGCTTAGGATCTTCATCTTGCTGAAGCACAAACCGCTGGCCAATTAACCTTCTCTCCCTGGGTACCTTTTACTGCGCATGACACAAGGTTTTAGTGTCTTACATTCAAAATTGTATTAAACTACTTTTTGTTTATGTTATACCAATTAGAATAGCATAAAGTCTTAGCTAATAATCCATATTTTAATTGTGTACAAGTTTTACGTTCTTAATTTTACAAGTAAATATATAAAAAAATCCTGAATTTCCACTAGTGTGACCCATGTGACACATTTTGTCTTAGCATGTCATCATCCCTATTTTATCCAACACCCCTCAAAAATGTACGATATTAAACGTAAAATACTCTCTATAAAATCGTTATTGCTCAAACAGGCCATAGTTTTATAGTCTTCAATTTTGTTTGGTTACAGAGCCATGCAATAGAAAATTCAGACCCCTCCTGCCACACCCACCTGTTACATCCTCTCTTTCACAATTCGTTGATAGCTCTCTCTTACGTTTCATCATATATTACCTATAACCAATAGAAAGTCAAGGTTTTCATCTATTAAATTACGTATTTGTATAACGTTGTGTTCTGAACAGATAATCGTCAATTTCATTCAGAGTAGCAACATCGTTAACGACTAGCTTGAATGAATTTGTAACGGCTTTTGTCACATAGTTAGAAAGCCAGGAAAATTTTAAGAGGTAATTGAATTTGTCTACTTTTTGCTTGTTATTGGTCTATATTCTTTGGTGCATTATTTAATTAAATAAAAATTGTTAAGTGCTTTTCTATAAAAAATCAGGCTTAAGTCTCCTCGATAATCGAGGGCAAGAAAAAAGAAGATTGGGTAAGTACTTTATTTCTTGTTTTTCATATTTATTCTTTATTTATTATTATAGAAATAACTAATATTAAAAGTACTGATCTTTTTAAGTTATATAAGACTAGATTAGGTAAAATAAGTAATATTAATAATATAATTAAAACGGTTCACGAGGCACCACACGAGCAGCTCGTGGGTAATGTAATTCGATAGCATAAAGTGATCTGCACGTTCCCCCAGTGATTCACAAGTTATAATGCCGCGGATAGTAGTTAGACATGGTTCAAAGGGCACTAAAACAACAAAATTTAATTATAAATAGATATATAATGTTACGAACTTAGAGCTACTTAGGATAAACGAATATATAATTTCATGTTACAATTTGAAGTACAATTTGTTACATTCTAGAAAGAAAAGAAGGCTAATTTAGGCTTATTTCGATTTTTTTTTTTGGTGGTTACAAGGTCGATCGAACTGACCGATCCCGTTTTCAGATAGGGTAGAGAAAATAACA